AAAATTTAACATGTAATATTTTTTTCTGAATAATACTGAAATATTTGTTCCATATATATTTACAGCATGTTATTATATAAATTTTTTTGGGGGTAAAGGTAAAACCAAATATTTAAAAAGTAATTATAAACATACAGAAATAACAAATCCAATAATTGAATGTACATATGATATTGTACCTGATAATGTAAAGAAGTAAGTTTATATTATGGTTTTTTATAGATTGATTTATATAAAATAAGTGAGTTGATAAATAAACATTAACGTTCATAAGAATATAATTTTAATTATTTAGTACTTTTCATAATAATTTATTCGAAGGGTTCAAATAAAATTTTGTTTAAACTTTGCAGAACAAAAATAGCACGTCTTGAAATAGAGTTTTCCATACCTCTAGTTACAGCTGTGAAGGTAAAAGTAGGATCATTGGATAAAAGTAAGATTCATAATGGACAAGAAGTATGTAGACATAATTCTGAAGAATTACCAGATGGTTGGAAGATTTTTAACATTTTGGTAATATTTTGCAATATTCATTTTAATTTAAATATTATTCAAAGTTTACTCAGATATATTTGATAACATTAATAATGTATATATTTTCTTTTTAAATAATATGTTCCTTTTAGTACAATGATACAGGAGTTGAACACTATAACTTTAGTACACCTTTGGTGAGTTTTATGTTTGATATATGTTTGGTAATCATATTATAACATTATTTACATAATTAAAGACAGTTATTTCATTATTAGTTATTAAATAAAAAATATAAAAGAATATGGAAATATGAAACTGAAGATTTAAAAAATTTTAATTATTGTATTCATTTCTGGTATCTTGATCTAAGATGTGAGGAACAAACTTTATGGAAACCACCTGTGGAGAAATGTTGGTGGTACAGACGTAAGTACATGCTTATAAACATAATTCCAAGTTTCTTAATGTTTACTACAAAGGAAACTCTTTACTTTAAATTTAAATGAATAACAGCTTTTCCTATTTAATTACAATATTGAAAAACAAGAATTGAAATTTTGTTTACAGGTTGTCAAGATGTCACTGATCACAATAATTTTGGTGTTGTGCCTAGCACTATTACTGATGACATTTCTTATTTGTACTCACCCATTATTTTTATCACAGTAACTATATTTATCATGATTGTAATTATGTACCTGATCTATGTCATATGTGCTTACAATGTACAAGCAAAAATGGTTTACATAAATATTTGTGATGGTAATATTAAAACTGAGAAAACTAAACATAATAAATCAAATATACATGGCTTAAAAGACAAGAAGAAAAAATTGAAGTGTGAGGATACCAATACTATCAACACAGATATCATATTGTTATATCCTAAAGGTCCTGAATCATTCATGGCACTGATGGCAGATTTTCGCGGAATACTTAGTCGGGTCAGCCAGTGTGTTGTAAGTTGTTTATAATTTTGTACAATTTAAAAAAATAATAAAATTAGGAAATACACGAAAACATTTTATTTATTGCTTATATTAACAAATGATAATTTATAAGTTGCAATAAAGATTAGTAATTTATTTTAAAAAATAAGTTGTAAAGATGTTTTTTGGTTTAATGAATGTAATTATATTTTTTATATCTCACAGGTACATGATTGGTATGACAGAATGGAATGGAACTATGTCGCCGAGGTTGGTGCTTTTGATTGGTTTGCTGAAATGCTTCAAAAACAATCCTGTGTCATTTGGATAGATACACCAGCAATGCGTTCTTTAATCACACAAAAATTTAAGAACAACCCTTTTTTTAAGAATTCTGAGGAATATAGTTACGTAACAATTGGTGATTTTCGAGACGTAGTATTTCCTACAGTGTTTAATTTATCTAAACGTAATATTGTACAATCAGCGATACAACGGCCCAAACATTTTATCATACGGTTGGTATACATTTTACAACAAAATCTAATAAAATATTTGAATGTATTATTAATATTATAGTCTTCGTTGAAAAGTCAAAGTATTTTTTATTATTTTTATATTACATTTTATACTTACAGATTACAAGGATTTCAAAATTTTGAAAATGATGATCCATTTGTTGATTTATCTCCGCACATGCGATATTACATACCACAGGACTTAAACTTATTATGCTCAGATTTGTAAGTTCTCAATATTATTAAAAATGTGTCGTTCTATACAATAGTATTTTAATTTTATTATAGGAAATAATATAATTGAAGATTGTTTAGCTACATACTACGTATATTTTAATAATACTGATTGAAATATTAAAGATATAGTCATTGTATATATTTTGCACATCGGTATATTGACGAGTTTTACAATGTACATATATTTTTTAGGTCAATATTGGAATCGAATTTAATTACATCATTATCAAGTCAAGAAGAAAATCTTATAAAAAAGCATTTAGATTATGTAAATTTTGACTTTTGTAAATAAATACTTGAATTATATGTGATATTGATTGTTACTTCTAGTTATAAGTTCACTAGTTAAAATTGTCGAAGTGTTAAATGTCTCTACATATTAGTTGATGGGTATTTGATATTTCAAAAATTTAACATACAAATGTAAGTTCGTGAACAAAACACAGAATTTCAATTCAATGTTATGCTGTAATAGAAAATTTGAATATTTTATGTCTATGCATAAATTACAAACATACACTCTAGTGATTCAGGGATAATGAATACTTTTCTAGGGAAAAGATGTATTTTTGTCTGTATATTTTCAGAATGACTGACGGGCGGCAACTATTTGTTTATTTATTTATATATTATAAATAAGAGTGTATAAAGTATAAAAGTTTAAAAAAAGTTAGTGATGAAAACAACATGTCGAATATTATCAATTGAAGTTTCATTCACGTCTTGGTTTAGTTCATTGATGAAAATACGTTTAACAATAGCGGTTATTTAAACTCGTTATCTATTTTGTTAATTGTTGACAAAATACAAATAATGTCTGTACGTTATTCACGTTTTAAGAAATTGTTGAAATAATACACTTTTACTGATTTTTGTCACTTGACGTTTTTCTTATGGTGGGATCTTTTGAATCTTTTAAATATAATCAACGTATATTTCCAAAAAGATGAAACGTTTAAAGAGTGAATTTATTAATGCTACAATTGAATCATATTTAAAACGACGTCATTATCAGGCAGGTTACGTTCTCGTTTTTATTTCAAAAATACAATTTAAAATTGAACTATAATTAATAAACATGACATAACCTCTTCTTACTTTTAAATATCAATTATAGACTAGCGACGTGTTCTGTAAAGGTAATTCAATACATTGTCGAACAAGCGATGAAATGACTCTCAATGCATCTGCTGCTTCTGCCACATCTCAAGATAACTCCATCATTTTTAGTGCCATTAGCATTGATGTTGTTGCTGCAGATCAAGCATATCAACGGTATATGTCTTTTTCTTCTTTGGACTTCTTGTTACAATTATTTCAATATATTAAGCTCATTACTTGCACTCCTTATTTGGTTGTTTTTTAAAATTATGTACTTTCTTCAGGTTAAAGATGTGGGTAAATATTGTTCACGATGATAAGTTAAAAATGGAATTAAAAGGGCTTCTATACCCTGTATTTTGTCACTTATATTTAGAGATGCTACATGCTGGCAACAGACAAGCAGCAATACAATTTTTAAAATCACATCAAAATGAATTCAACAGTGATACAGAGAAAGACTTTTTAGAAGAGCTATCAAGTGTATTTTCAGTACAAGATATTGAATTGAGACCTTTAGTAAATTCATTTAGAACTAGAAAATATAAAGTGGATATGTCAGATATTGCTCATTTATGTCTTCAACAATTTCTTTCAAAGCATGGACATATTATATTACTGCAGGTAATAGAATAACATTGCATTGATTTAAAACATGTTAATTGCGAAATTATTTGTTTAACAATATGTAATTTTTTTGTTGTGTAGATAATTAATACACACGTGACAATAATTATAAAAATGGATGTGCCTGAAACAGACACAGATGGGTGTGAAGAAACACGTTCACGTGCTGAAGTAGGAATTAATGGATATGTGGAGCAACCATCAGGTACTGGAGCTGATCGTGAAATGAGGGAATTACAAGAAGCTATAAGATTGATTAGAAATAATGCTCATCAACCCCTACGAATATTTACAGTGAACAATGCTATTGAAAAGTAATTACATACAGATAGGTTTTGTTCATGTAAACAATGATTTGGCTGAAGCGTAGTATAGTAATATTAGCAAAAAATAAGAATTATATAAAAAATTTAAAAATTTATTTATAGTGCAAGTAGTGGTATAATTCCACCCAATATGGACAAATTAGCAGTAGGGTTTAGTACTACAGAGATTAGACTATGGGGTATAAATGAAACAGTATTAATTAAGCCAAAGTATGAAGAGCCTTCCTTCACGTTTGCCTCTGATATTCCATTTCTACATAAATTTTATGAAACATCGGATAGAACGTAAGTTTTTATAAGTGGAATTTAAATAAACTACAGTAATTCAATTAAACAAGTAATATAAAATTATACATTTATGTATTTCTTTTAAGGACTGAAGGAGGGGCAGTGATACTTAGAGGTCATACAGATATTGTACATGATTTAAGATTTATTCCAGAATCAGAAATTTTACTTTCTGTATCTAGTGATAAAGACATGAGGGCATGGAGACTTAATGATTACACATGTGCCGCAATTTATAGGTATATGTTTATATTAATTTTGCAGAGATATTTTAGAATAAGAAATTATTATTACCATTAAAAAGTAATTTGTTACAGTGGTCACAGTTATCCTATATGGTGCATGGATCTTAGTGTATTCAATCTATATGTAGCAACTGGTTCTCATGATAGAACTGCCAAATTATGGTCCTTAGATAGGGTATTTCCATTGCGCATATTTGCTGGTCATTTTTTAGATATAAACGTATGTATTTTAAACAAAAATAAAACTACTCTATTTTTATATGCATAGCAATGTATGTACTTTTAAATATATGTATTTTTGAAGAGAAAGAAAATCTTAATTATTTTTGTTGTATAACTTCTTATCATATCGTTTTGTAGTGTGTAAAATTTCACCCAAGCGCTCGATATTTGGCAACTGGGTCTGCTGATAAGACTGTCAGATTATGGGATAAGGACGACGGAAATTTATTAAGGGTATATGTCGGACCGCAGTCAACAATTTATAGTTTAGCTTTTAGTCCAGATGGAAAGTATTTGGCAGCCGCAGGTAAAACAACCTACTTTAAATGTTACATTATATAATGCGAATTTTGTGATTTATCAATTTTACAGCGTCTTAATTAAAACTCTATCATTTTAGGCGATGACAAATCTATCTCTGTTTGGGACTTAGCAACTAATGCATTGTTAACTGAACTTAAAGGCCATGAAGACACGGTTATGCATTTAGACTGGAGTTTTGATGGTCAATACATTGCTAGTGGAAGTTTGGATGGCACTATACGTTTATGGCCTACACATGACCATATTAAAACTGTTCATAGGTAATTTTCTACTATACAAATTGAAACTTACTTTTGACATAAGACCGTATTTTAGTTGTACTATTTTGCAGCAATTCGTCAAATTTAGTACCTGAAACAGAATCACCGCAAACATACTCAACTTATTGTTCGAGCATTCTTTCTTTACGTTATTACAACAAAAATAACTCGCTCGTGTGTATCGGAACAGTGGATAATTTGTAATATATGAAAGCAAAAAAATTAAATACGATATATTTGTAAATCAGGTCTTTTATTACTTTTCCTTGTAAATATCATTACATTGGAAATAATTCTTTAATACTGCAACACCGTAACAGAAAAAAACGCTAACTTTTTAAATCTTACTATTGAAATCTTTTAATACATCACGAGTCTATGGCGGCACATCACACGTATCAAACGTTGAAGTAATCTGCTTTGCATAAAATCCAAGAAAGAAGATCAATGTATACCATAATATTGGCCGCCATGTTTCGATGTGTCTGGTTATTCGTAAAGGTTCTGCCGTTCGTATACTAAAAATAAAAGATTCAATAAACGTTAAACATATTCTAGAAGCTTTTCCTTTCCATATTTCTTCTAATTCCTTAACATGAAGTAGTTTATTTATACTCTTTTTTTTTTATTAAATGAATAATTACCATAATTTAAATTGTTTTTCAACAGTTTTGGTCACATTCGATTCCAAAAAAGAATTCTGACTGCTAATTAATCGATCCTGGTCATTTGTGTTATCAACAATATCACAATTCACGATATTGACGTTATTACTTTGATCAATTCTTAAGAGATTATTATTTTCTTCAATGGAGTTCCGCCGCGACTCAGTATGCTCAAAGATGTCACGCAATTCAATGACACTGCTTGCGCTACTGAAATAATAAAACATCAATTCATTTAATTTTTGCAATTCGAATGTATATCCCTATTATATGCAATGGAATAAGAAAATAGTACGAACTCCGTTCGGTTTAATTTATCATTTTCCCTCCTCTGTATTTCAGAGCACAATGATGGCCTCCTTAAAGTAACTCTTCCGGAAACAGAATTACGTTGCCTAGGAGCTTCCTGCATGCAAAACGAATAAAATTATTCTTGATACTGCAGCTCTTCATAATTATTACATAAGTAGTATGTAACTGAAATTGACATAATAAAAAATCCTGCCTTTATCACGTCTTGCGAAGTCAAGGGTCGCGTAATAGTTGCGATGCTTGCTCTCCTCCTAGCTATCTACAAATATAAATTAATCAAGAAAAAATCAATTAGCAATAATTATATACGGTTGATTAATCTATGATTTCTGCATATAGTATTACAGTTCCTCTAATATACTATTAATATCACGAACCATTGTTCGGTTATTGCAGGGCAATCCGTTCCTGTATCGTATTTTAGGTATATCATCTCCTATATCTCCAGAACTTTCTTCTATCACGATATTATTCTTCAGTAAGATTTGCCTATAAAATAATAATTAAAAATTTCAGCTACATTCGCATACAATTAAATTGAAAAAATTAAATCATATTTCTATCAAGATGAAGGTGTTTACTTGGTTTCCGCAATTTCTGCAGCAAGATTTTCGCATCTATTTCGCAATAATTGCAGATATTTGTCACCTATAAAGATTGCTCTAGATATTCTCTGCTCTTGATACACTGCTCCGTGGGTTTCAGCAGAGGACGAAACCCTGTGCGCAGATCGCGCTATCATATTTAACTGATGGCGAACTTTTTCTACTTTGTCTATTGATTCTTGATCCATACAAAGCGGGCACAGATCCTGTTATCGAAGGATAGTAATTAATATTGATAATTCATAATTTAAAAAAATATAAAATACTATTCATATTTTCAGATTATTTATGAAGTTATTAAATTACGTTAATGATAACAAAATTTCGTTTTTTCAATCAGTTGAAAGAATTTCTTCAATAAAAAATTACACAGTCAATTAAATTTAAGCGTTAAAAGAGTATACTTGCCTGTAAGTCCCTTTGCATCTTTTGAATTTCTTCCATAAAATTTCGTTCCGACTGATCTCTTTGACGCAGTGACAAAGCCATTCTTCTATGCAGAGTGATTCTATCTGTAGCCAGTCCTATCGAAAACGCAATATACTTGCGCTGCAATTAACAAAGATGAATGTTTATAAATGTAAATTTCGATGTATTATAACGCTCCACACACGTTTTTAATCATTCATTTACCTCGAGCTCGTTTTCTGCTACACTTTCTCTGAAATAAAAAATCAAACGAAAAACAATCATTTGTCCATTTTAATAAATCATCAAAGTACAGTGTGTAACAAAAGTTTCCGGATTCTCAGATTACAAAAACGTTTGATTTACCGATATTTTTCTTTCAATTTCAAACATTTTAGACATTTTAGAAATATATCAACACTTTCAGCACTGGACGTTTTTCAATGTCCCACCTGAGCCACGGAATTCTTCCTTTTATCGCTTTTTTATTACTTACTTTTCCTTAAAAATCCTATAGAACACGTTTTATAATGAAAAAAAATTTTACAACTATTTTTTTTTTCTTTCATATTTTTTATTCTTTACTTTTTCACACGGCTTGCGGTCTTATGGCATCATCCTTGCTGAAAGTGTTAAGCCTATAATCATGCTTTCCTTTTTACTGTCTTCCATGTCGCAACAATCAATTATCAAACTCAGAGCCCGCATACGTTCATTACACACTGTAACATTATTTATGCAATATTAATTAAGGAATAAAATATATTTAAAATACGACGTTGCAGTTTTACCTGTACACCTTGTCTATATCTTTATAGTTGGTTAATCCTACACTCTGCAATCTGGTGTCGTTGAAACTGGGAAACGCCGGAAACTGTTCCCGTTCGTCGAACAATTCTTCCTCTTTGGCGCATCTGCAACGACTTTTCGTACGATGGTATCGTTCGCAGTCACCCTCGGACAAGGATCTCCTCGCAGCGAAGACTCTCTGTAGCGGAGAATACCGTACGAAATACGTATAATCGTGTGGAATATCTCTCGTTTCTTAAATAAACGATCTTTTCCGAATTTTTCGGTCTCTCTATAAATATCTCATTACGCGGCCGAAGCATAAAGGGAATATCAGCAAAGGAACACACCGGGCACGTTTTATTCTATATCTCTCTCCACCGATATACACATCCTGAACGTTTGACCGCCCCGCGGTGCTTCTAGAGCAAATATTATTTTTCCTATCGCACGGAATAGATCGCCAGATGTAGTGGCGACCATGTGTGATACAGTAACGATTCAAGGTGCATGCATATAATATTTAGAATGTCTGGCAATACCGAAGGTCTCCAAATACCAACGCAATTTATCCTTCCCTCTACAAAGATCGGAATCTTCGAAAATCATTCTAACAACGTGTATTACTTTAAAAAACAAAAATAAAATAAAATAAAATAATAGTAACATCTTTTACTATTCACTTTTACCTTTTTCTCACATTTCTGTTATCTGTGACAATAAACAAGAATTTTTCGAATCGGACAATTTTTGCTATCTGAAAGAATTGTCTATCTTGATGTGATCAGTAAGAAGAACAAGAACAAAGATACTATAAAAAGATTACCAACTTGTCGCTTCTCTTGTTTCGAGCAAAATTCCGCCCGATCTTCCGCCGCGTTCTTCGTCTCGTCGGTTACGCATGGATCCAGTTTTCTCGGGTGTTCCCCTATTGAAAGTGACAACGAGGGTTGCGACGACGTCAACGGGCTGTTACTCTTCGAACGTCTCCTCTCGATCTTCCCTAGCACGTCCTGCGTACAGGCTGCAACGATCGGATCGTCCTCGCTGTCCGAACCGATCGAGCTATCCTCGTGACTCGACATTTCGACGTCGACTGATGTATATTTGCCGTGGCGACCACCACTTGACGCGTTCACAAACGAGCGGGGATACTCCGAATCTTTGATCTTAACCAGATCTGCGAATCAGAGAGGATAGATCTCGAACAATATACATTTTATTGTATTTTTAGGTTTTTTAACTCGATCGAGCTGTGTGCTCGTTGGCGGATTTACCGGTGCACGTAGCGGCCCGCCAACAGATTGGACGCGTATGCGGTGAATTTCCACAGTGGAGATCATTTGTGGACCGGCTCGTTTTGCGGTTCTCGATTTTTTCACCGGTAAAAGACTCGACTATGGCCGGGCTGGACGATGAATCGTCGTGGCGTGAATCAATCGGAGCATTTTCATCGGCGGCCTGATCGAAAAACAGCAATCGTTAAGAGGAGGAAGATTTTATTTTTAACTCTTAACGATGCAACGTTAGGCTTCTAATTTAAGATCATTCTGGAAGTATGATAAATCATTTGTCGTTTCGATAAATCACTTCTTCCGTGATATATATACGCAACGCGACGTTAGAAATTTAGGGGAAGCTTTCGTTTTGTTTTCTAGTATCAATAATTCTACCATTTCCTCTGGATAAATCGATCTTGAATTTTTAAAAGCTTTTTAAATAATTATTAATATCCAAAATTTAGAAACACCCGGTAGAAAATGATTTAACCAGAATTAGGAAGGTAGCATTAAATTTCCTCTTCGTGGAGTATTTGAAGTACTCTTCAAAGGCAAATATTTTCGATGCGGGTAGATTCAACAAGTTTCTAGGAAATCAATTCCGCCCTCGATCCTATCAAAGATTCAGTTTACTGGGAAAACAACCGTTGCTTGAATATCCCTCTCTGCAAGAAAATAACGTCGCGATCGTTAAGAGTTAATTGGACGGACGTATTTAAAAGCGTATCATCGGAGCGCGCGCGGCTTACTTTGAACTCGTAATTTTCATGATTATTCAGCTTTTGATGTATCCCGATCGAAGTTTCGGCGATCGTCGCGCGATTATTATCGACGATCGCCGCCGCGTCCTCCGTAACTTGCGGCAATTTCAACGATGTCGGTGATAATGGCGCAGTTTTGGAAACGCGCGAATGATTCGACGTCGTAGATCGTTCGCTGAGATGATCGGGCGAGGAGTTGCTCAAGAATTTCCCACTCTCGATCAACGAACGATAGCTAGCCACGAGGCCTCTTTTGTGCAAGCCCGTTTGTTCGTCGATCACGTTGTCGCTCTTCGAATTTGCATCCTCATGTGTTCGCTCGATGCGAACCGACGGGCTGCTAGACGTTCGTCGAAATTCGATCGTTTCTTTATCTTTGTCCTGATCGAACTGTTCGATCACGTCGAACGATCGATAAAACACGGATAACTTTCGTTTCGGGGTCCTTGATAAATCTGTATCGTTGCTGGTCAAGTAATTGGCCACTTTTAAGTACGTAGGTTGTTTCTGGTCTGCTTTCACTTCCGGCGATTTGGATCTTCTTTTATCAGCAGTCTTCGTGGATTCATCCATTTGACGATCTTTTCAGCTTCGATTATTATCAAGGATTCTCTCTTTTTTCCCCTAAAGAATGTATATATTTTATATTATCTATTTAAATGTTAAAGGAGTGTATAGAACATTTTTAACCCCTTTGTAGTTCAGCTAGAGAGAATGTCGAGCAGAATGTCAAAGTGTTACCGTTTATTTTCGATCTTAGGGTTCTTAGACAGAAATAAAGAGGTAAAGAAGATATATCGTCCTCCAAGTTACGAAGATTTAGAATTAACTGTGAAATGTAATCAGATAATTCACAAGATTAAATTTTTTCAAATTTTCCTCTAAATTTGACTATAAAAATCTATTTCTTCATTAAAAATTACATAAAATTCAAATTTTATTCGAAAAGTAAAAATTTGCATATTTATGTTTCATCATAAACGAGACGATATGATAAATTATAAGAAAGGGTTAAATGTTCTTAGAACGTATGATCGAAACGAAGATACGAGATTTAACCAGACGCAATTGTATCCCGCGACGTTCAATTTGTAGCGCGCGCAAATACACGAAACACCTACAGAAAGTTGTAACACGGTTAACCGGAGGCAGTGCTAAGCCGATTATTACATAATTCGAACGCGTATCAATGCCAACGGTGAAGAGTGTAGCGACCCGCGTGCGTCAATATTAACCAGAATGTTTTAATTAATGGGTGGAGACGCGCATTTCGTTTTTCAGCCGGGTTTTCCTTGTAGAGATAAACAATCTGCATACATTAAACCGTTAATTAGAACTACCACCGATCGTACTCAATTTAGCGCGGCGATCATATCATTGAAGCAATAAATTGGCTTGTCCTTGCTACTGGATGGTAAACGTTAAACGGCACATTAAACATCCACATACACTCCCAACTTCTGCGCGTGTTAACTCATTAAGACGTAACACGTTGACAGTTAGCCTAATACAGGCAAACTAGTCTTAATTGCGATCACAAATATGCAACGCGACTGTACGATGCATAATGTCTGCTGTCACCGTCGAGCACACTGTTCAACGTAGAGTTCGCTAATTTAACGGCGATATGTTTGTCGAAAGTTTTAACGGGTGAGTTTAGACGGAACTTTGATATTTGATCTTCGTGGAATCTTTTCATGTAAACGATACACTTTTTCTTTTCCTAACGAACGTCAAACTGTCGAACTATTGTAAGAATCTATAATACATATGTACCTGTGTTCTTTTTTTTTTCTCTGTCTTCTCTTTACAATCGACTTTACAATTAAAACAGTAGTTCGCGCCAAGAGGCACAGTTCGTTTATGCTTGACCATGATATTAAAGTAGACGGTAAATCCAATTTAACGTAATAATATTAGAGAGTTCTAAGATTTCGCGTGCTAGAGAAACAACCACGTAACGGTTACGCAGGAAAAGTACCTCGAGATATTCAAATTGCTAAATTCCCGATCGAATAGAACAAAACGGTCGGTAATTGGATGAATATATTTTCTCTCAGATATAGATGGTGAATGTGTTTCGAGGACTGCAACAAACGAGATTTTGCGTAACTTTCACCCGGCTACCGATTAGTCCGGTACGTCGAGCACGCGGGATGTATCTCTTGTTTCTTTCTCGGATTTCGTACACTTCAAACACGAAACTAAATGGAAGAATATCGTTGGAAATAAAAGTTCTCTTACCTACACAATGTCGTATATTTACGCTATTTGGATGGCAACGCGTTCAATCAAAGTAACACATCATGTTTTTATCCCTTATGAAAAGAAATCGTGTCGAAAGTAATGCGCTTCGCGTATTCCGTGTCGTTCATTTTTCTTTGGAACGATAGCAAGAAAGCATAGATGATACAGAAGGAGCAATAAAAGCTGAAAAGAGGGAACGAAATGCGACTTGCACGAACGCCGCAGGCAGACTGAATACGAACGCGTGTAAAACTGCTCTCTTTCTCTTTCTGTCTCTTTCTCTCTCGTTCTATCCTTCTTATACCGATCGTGCCTCTTTTTCTCTCCTTTCATCGGGTTTGTCTCTTCTCGTCTCACTTGTCTCGCCGCAGTTTTTTCCTGTAACGTTTTTCTCCAGTGATACTCTGCTCTTTTTGATCCGGACTGAAATGTTTTCGAAACGCATTCGGCAGGTGTATATATATGAATATATATGTATATGTATATACGTTGAATGCACGAGCCTAGGCTGGCTCGGGGAATCACAAATGATACCTGTTTTCAATAGAGAGGTAACCGCTAAGAATGCACAAAAATCAGTTTTGTACGGTTGCATTGTTTTTTCTTGCGGTTTTCTTGTCGTCGCTCGATTTAACCTCAAATATCCTTCGGTCTGTTTCAAAGATTTGTATTTCTACAAAAAAAAAAAGAAAAAAGAAAAATACACTGACTAATCGTACTTTGGAAACGCCTTAAAGTCAATACATCTTATGATACCTTCTTAGTTACAAAGATAATTTATTCTGATCTATGCGCATATTTTATACGATGTATCTTTTGTGACTGGAAGATTGAACGTAGCAGTACGTTGCAAACTGCGTTCGATGTCGCGTACGAATATTAACTGAAATTTATGAAACAAAAGTTTAGTCAAGATTTCAAGTGTTAATTCCGTTATGATACACACGCGGATCGTTTTTTTCCAATACATCTCGAGGAAACTTACTTATTTTTATGCGAATGCATTTTAAAGAAAGTATTCAGGCCAATGTCGACTAAACGTGAACCCCCTGAATTCTATTTTTATGGGAAACCCTGTGAGTAAACAACTGTATGCTTTCGCGATCATCGAGGTGTCCCGGTTAGTATAACCCAGCGTGAATGAAATCACCGTGAAATTAGTTCTGCTCTATGAACAGGACGATAAAGTGAATAGAAAATTCATAGAAGAAGCATTTCTAAGTATCGTTGACTAAACTAGAATAAAAAGTATACCCATACTGCTTCGCGGTTTTTGCCTCCGTCAGGGCAAAAAAGGAAAATTCGTACGATAAGGAAAAGTTCGTGAAATTTCGTCGTTCAGGGGGTTTTTGTTACAGAAATAAGTACTTATCGTTCACGGTCATCCGGCGTTGACCCAGCTTCCTATTCTGCGCGTGATTCTTCAATTTTTTCGGTTGATCGTTCGAGTAAAATCGTATTTATTAAATAGTGCAATATGGAATGTCGTATTTTGCAGGGAGGAATGAAAATTTTTATTTAAATGCAAGAAACTATTACTGATAGATTTTCCAACAGTAACTTACCAAAAATTGTATAACCTTAAATTAATACGAAAAAAAATTCAGAACTTTTCAACACTCAGCTAATCATTTAAACGATCAACTTTCGAATGATTAAGAATCCAATATTTCGTATTGCACAATATCATTTCTAACTAGAAACGTTTAGCTTTGCATTTTAATTAATTCCAAGTAATCGTACGAAATTTCAAATGACGAACGTTATACTGAATTTCTATACGAAACGGACAATGAATTCGGGTAACGAGAAGAGGTTCTTGAACCTCGGATAAGAAGGGATTGTCATGTAATACCGCGTTTGTTTAGCGCGAAAAACATTTTGATCGATGTTTGCGTCAAGATCTATTATAAGCCTCTGGTAATTTTCACTGGCTTAACATTGTGTAATAAGAATTTTATCGAAACCATGATCAGCTGTTGCGTGATCAAACCGTACGTCAATTATCGTAATTAATACTCGGGAAAGAATTGTCATTAAACAGATGTCAGTTATTGCCCGTTGACGTCTTTAGAAAAAATCAGTTTTAACCATGATGCAGATCCAGAATAATATATAATTCTCAGAGAAATACCTACGTCATAATACCAGTCTACAGGACTCGAAGCAAACTTGCATTCTTCTTATTTTAAACAATTTTCCATACTATACTATTATACTATTAATACTATTTATAGCATCGTTATGAATGGCATTAGGAATTCATCGAATGTTTTCGAATATACAATAATCATGAAATACTGCGTACATTGATAATTACCCGTAAATAGTTTTCAAATCCGCTTTACGACACAAAGAACCATCTACCGGAGATTAATACGTAATATGTTAATCACCGGGTGTATGGTAACGCATCATTGTCCCTCACTTCTCGCGTGGACACCGTGTACATATCCTCTTTTTTTCTCTCATCTTTTTAACGGGAAGTTCGAAGCCGACGAGCGTGAATCTTTCTACGAGTCTTTCCTTTCTATCTGATTCACCGCATCACTCTAGCTTGCTTGACCATCAGTTTAGTCTTGAACTGCTCGCCTCGCGGGTTGCTTTATCGGCACCGTTTGTTTCCGTACTCTTGTAACTTTTCGCTATCTTGAAAATGCACAGTAACGTGTTCCTTCAGTTATTCTTAATCACTCTAGTGCTCACGATGGTCTACAACGAACTTTATGGTAAATACGATATATCTTATACGAGTTTTCGTCGTTACAAGTGTTTCATGTCAAACGATCGAACGTCAATTCTACGTCTCGGAAACGTTTGATTACGATCACTGTCAAAATTACTCTTATACACTCCGCTCGAATCCCTCGCTACTCTTTTCATGCAATTTTTGTTTTCGCTATAACCAGAATTATTCTGGATTTAGCTGTATTTCTTGTGTTTTTATTACAACATTGAAACGTGCATCATTATACGAATAAATATTACGACGAAGAAGAAGAACTGGTCCACAGAATGCAGCGCATGTGCTTTGTGACGTCAAACCGAATTCGAGTTCTTTCTGTAGATTTTTATTGCGGATCTCGTCGTCGCGTAACGTTCGTTATTCGTGCAAATTTCGATTTCTTAAGTTTCTACTTCGTCGATCATTTCTCTCTTATGCTGTATCGATAGTTGGCATTGAAGAGAATTCTTCAAAAACAGTTTTACGAGGAAAATGCTCAGTGTTATTCTGTTTCTTTTCTTTTTATGTTGCTCGTAGAAGGAAGCAAATGTTTGCTGGAAAATGGTAATGCAGGTATCTGCAAGAAGTTACCCGACTGTTCACCCAGGATGAAAGAAGTGCTAGAGGGGAAAAGGCACGCGACTTCAACGGGTAGGTGCGGATTCGACGACTTTGAAGAGATCGTTTGTTGCCCTCTGAATATCACGGAGAAGATAGTTCCTCGTCTAGCGGAAGCTGGTACGTTCTTTCTTTCAATACGATGCAAAATATTTCATCAAAAAATTTACAATTTTTTACGTTTGTTTAAAAATTGTAAATGTAAAGATACAACAGTGGTAAAAGTAGAAAGCATTCGGTAAATGGGCGCAGATGAAAATAACTATTAATCAGATAACTTAAAATACTTCTGAGATACTTTCTTTATCGGGTATCGACTACGGAAGTTTATGCTTCAAGGGTATGTTTAAAGAGTAAGGATGATTGATACGCCTGTAACACGAAACTTCACTGTAATTTATATCGTAATTGCTGTTGATCGTATAGTGTACAGAGAATTCGGAGCGTGTTAAGTCTCGATTGTACGTATGTGTAAAGAACACGCGTATGTAGTTAATCGGTGTCTGTACATCATCATTAATAGTTGATCAAGCGGAAATATCAACAAGAGAGTCTTCGATTTTAAAGAATCTCGTTACTACGAATATCGTAGAATGTTCTGCATATTTTTGAATACGATAAAAAACGAAATGGAAAAAAAATTCAGCGATACGAAACGTTACCATTCTAATGTATCAAATTTAGCGCATTTCGTCTGAATGTGAAATGATAATTCTTGAAAAGAAATTCCTTGATAAAATATTGCATTCGAGAAAAGCGTATAAATCACCTGCTATGAGACTGATTTGCATGCTCCATTTAAAATTTAAATAGCTGACCTTTCTTTCCGCGGAAATTTTATGCATAATGCGTAAGATAAGGCAGACGCGTATCTCCACAAAATTACTCATCGTTTTTAGGTATTTTTTCTCAATGCATATTTAAAATTATATAAATCTTACGTTTCGAAAGTCTAAAAATATACAAAATTTTTAATACGACAATCGAATTTTTAAAAATTATTTTTTGTATTCAATATTGTAACGTAATTTCCAGCTTGCCAGCAATACGACAACGAGATTACGCCAGACGACGTGAAAGCGCTTGATTTGTCTTTTCACATATATGGCGGAACTGAAGCTCAGTCCGGTGAGTTTCCGTACATGGTGACTTTAGGGTACAAAAATAACGACACCAGCGACGATCCATCACCTATCAAGTACAACTGCGGAGGTAGCTTGATATCTTCTCAACACGTATTGACGGCGGCACATTGTGCGAATAATATACACGAAAGAGTACCTGTCGAAGTAAGTTCATGGAAAATTAAAAATCACAGAAATTTCAATTTTTTATATAACGTATAATAATACTATTTGACTTTTCCATTGCAGGAAAAATGAAGTTACACATTATCAGAAAAATACGCTTTATTTTTTTACCCTTATGATTAATTAATCACATAAGTTATCGTTCTTCGAGTACGAAAACATACGTCAGCCATCTTCGATAGCACCGATCGTTTCAAGTGAAATCGAGAGAGATAATGTTATATCGCGTATTTTGCAATATGTTCGCAATATTTCCCTATTGTTAAATTTGTAGTACACGTTTACGATGTCCGATGACCGACTTTCCTCTAGCGCATTTTTCTTGTTTGGCTTGATTATCTATTTCCATAATTGATAATTGGACTACATAATTGAGGATGCGCCAAGCAAATGGTAACAAGCTTCTCAATGGAATTTCTGTACGCTGTTTCAGGTACGATTGGGAAACGAAGATATGCGGAATGTTACAAACGTGCAACGAATCCAGATAAGCGATATAATGTATCATCCGGGATTTAAACGTAGTACGAATTACAACGATGTAGCTATCCTGAAGCTGAAAACGCAGGTGCAGCTTTCGAAAACAGTTAAGCCTATCTGCCTTCAAACGAAATCCTTAGGCATCATTAGTATAACACCTAGAACACCTTTAGTAGCGATTGGATGGGGCGCTACAAGCTTCGAAGACGAAAATTCCAAACCCGACAAGTTGCTGAAGACATCTGGTCTTAGGTAGTCTAGCCATTAATCCAGTGATTAAATATAGGCAAATACTTCGAAATTTTAAACATCTTAAAAATTTTTTCGTTGTGCTTTTTGTCCTATTTTAACACGTCCGCTGCCTCCGACGCAGCATATGTGGTCCAGAATGTATTGTTCAATGTGCAATCGATTTTCTGGTGGCAGCGAACGTGTTGATAGTGTGAAAATTATCGAGAGATACTAAAGATCTAAAGTTTTGCTACCACTTTTAAATTACAGTCTCGTGGACAAAGAAGAATGCGACAAACACTACAAAGGACATCGGAAATTACCACGCGGTATCGACGACAGTATGATTTGCACCAGAGACACCAACAGCAGCAGAAGATCTGACGCGTGTGGAGGAGATAGCGGAGGGCCGTTATTAATGTTAACCGAAAGTGGAGATAGCGTAATTGGAATTACCGCGTTCGGACAATTTTGCGGTTCATCAGCTCCTGGTGTTTATACATCGGTTTATCACTACTTAGATTGGATCGAGGAACAAGTGTGGACGGGTAGCGAGCAGGAATCGAAGGAAGAGACGAAAACGAGGAAAGAGAAGGAAACGAAGGCCGTGAAAACGGAGTTCATTAACTTCACGATCACGTACGAATGAAACTTTCAATGATGTTCACGTAACACGAATTTAATCGTACATCTGTGAAAATTGCATTGTACCGTGATTCCTATTAAGGTTTAATTGTCGCGTGACATAGGAAAGAACTAAATGGGGTGGTAAACATTAACAAAACCCTCTTTTATTTATTCACATTCTGTACAAATTGTATTTTACATAATGTCGTTAATATCTACCGTGCCAACTTATGTATCAGGCGGCAATGTGTGACAAGCGTTGATTTGAAATACTCTCTCGAAGCAATTACGCAATTACACGGGTCTCGAGAACAAAGTAGAAAGCTTTGTTGGGGGGGGGATAAAAAGACAAAACAACGAACGTCGATTATTGTACCTTTTTGTTTTTTGTATGAGAAAAGAAAAAAAAAGAAAAAAGAAGTGAAAATAAAATTTTCAAACGAGAATTAAAAATGTTTTCGGTGTAATACTGCGGACGGTTCAGTACGTTCAACAAGGGCCTCGTGTACCTTTTAAAGTTGTTACCCTTTAACATACCCAGAAGATACAAAGAAACACACCAGCACCAAAGTTCAAAGCAATTCCAAGTAATCTAAGATTTATGATAAAAGAATCGCCACTTTTTCTTTCATACGAAGTGATTGAAATGTCGCTAACCGTAATAGTAACCGTTTTGAACACAGATAGACATACAATTTACATCTCGCGCGTTGGAGATTGATCGGTTAAATCTAGAGAACACTGGATCCTTATTTATTCAACGAAGGACGTAAGTACAAGGATTATGATACAGTGTCATTCGTACTCGGTACGCGATATAATACTGTTTACGATCAGGTGCAATTGTAGAGATACGTATAATTTATAGGCTAACGAACGAATTCCAAAGAATTTCATTATCCGTGCCTCGTCCCGCAGATTCATTAATCTGCAGAACGTAATCCGGAATGAGATTAATCGGGAGTCGTTCCGTGGTTCGCTAACACCGTTACGTCGATACGTTTAAAGTCTGAAAAAATTCCGTGCGTATAAATTGAAAGGAAAGGTACTTCCGTCGGAGTAACTACGTATTGCGTTCCCATCACCCATAGAAACCTTCCAGTTTCGCATCATTAAATTTAACTCATTAATCATATAATCAGAAATCCGACCAGGAATGATCTAATGCTATAATTACACTACACACACAAGAAAAAAAAAAAAAGAAACAGAAATTAATTCACAGTTAATTCAGGTCAGTTAATCGAATTATCGAAAACATCTATAGTCTGTCCAGAATCAATCGATCGCTGAAAAGGTGATCGAGGAGCAACTCCCCGCCACGCTATTGATCTTAAACGATCGATCGATTCCAGACAGATCTATAATAGCACCAAAAATAGTTTCCATATTCTACGAAAAGACGCGTTTCAGAAGGGGATTATCCTCAGAGCCCGTCGACACGAAACATTCCTCGCTACTTAATTTTTCATATATATCTGAAACCTCACCCCCATTTCGTAGCTATAGTATACAACGATCTAAGAAGCTCCAACGCTCTATTATCAGACGCGGTGCTCTTGTCCTCCTGCAACGAATTATTCCCATCAGACGCTACACCTTTCTCCGATCGTCTCACGATATTCGCCGAGTTTTCCGTGGTCGTACGAAACTTTCGACTTTTCCTACTCCTAAACGTAGTCACCGGTGGTTCCGTGACCAACGGAGCAGTCGAGGCGCCTCTCACGTAACTGGCCGACCTAACAGCAGGTAGATTCAACTGATTAATACCAGCTACAGCGTTTCTCGACTCTTCAGACGAGAATTCATTTACAGGCAATCTCAACAACGCGTTCAACAATTCGTCCTTTTCACGCTGCATCGTTTTGTTCGCCGGATCGCTGCAATGCCGTATCAAGAGAAGAACAAGCTGTCTGACTGTCTCGTTACTATCAGCCTGTTTCATTACTCTCATCAACGTGTTCGTACTGGAGATGTTCAATTTTCCGAACAGTTCCTCTGCAATTTCGTTCTCCGTCCCGTTCAATTTTCCAGGCTCAACCGTGTACGGTAGCAACGAAGTCACCAGGCTCTCCCGAGGCAACGAGTTCGTCGAGGTGATGGAAGACGTTATGGTCGTGGTGATACTGGATCGTGTGGTGATCAGTGGTTTCGGTGTCGCGGTGTTCTCGGTGGTGAACGCCGTTGGAAGCAGAGAAAACGTCGTAGGTGAATCCTTGTCTCTGGATAATCTCTGCGCGGTAGGTGGTGGGTCGTCGTCTTCGCTGACGAACGATGACTCCTCCGAACTTCCGGATATGTCTTGGCCAATGGAAGGTGTGTTTCCGTACTCTATCGTTTCCTGGCTATCGGTGACGCTGTAAGTTCCGGTGGAGACCGTTGTTCCAGGGTCTGACTCTAAATCGTGATTAATCCTCTGAGGATCGACGAAAACGGAAGTCTCCCAAAGATGAGTAACAGCTGGTGACGAAGTCCAATGATCGTTGCTTAATATTTTCGATTCCTCCTCCGGTGTTATCGATTCGAACGATTCATCGGATTCGGTGTTCGTACAAGGTGTGGTGTCCAGATTACTCGTAGTCGTGGTTATTATATCGGTGACCCTAGCAGTGGTAGTTGTTGGTTTATCAGTGGTTTCGATATTATTCTCGTCCAAGCGATTAAAAAGATTCCTGAACTTCATGTAACTGTTTCGTGACGTTGGGGGGGAAATTCCACCGGGTTTAGGTTCCGATAACAAAGATTTACGGCGAGGAATTTTGAACGGCTGATCGGTGGAGATTTCGTAACTCTTGGTCGAGCCGAAAGTAGTTGCTCGAACATTGTGCATCGACATAGGGGTACTGGAGTAACTCTCGGGATTCAACGAGATTTTATCGTTGTCCTTTCGCACCAGATCTGAATAACTTTCGTACAACGGCGGCGTCAATTGTTGCTCGGGTTTCTTACTCGTAGATTTCTTGTTCCAGTTGTAGGTAACCATATGAACGAACACCGACGGCGACGAAGGAGTCGGTGAAACGACGTAATTATCGTTTAGAGGAGTGGTGACGAATAATTTGTCACCATCGTACGGTTCGGTGACAATAGTCACGCTGTTATTCTGAAACCCTCCAACTCTACTCCGAGTACCAAACTCGTCAGATGGAACGTAGTTATCCGTCACCGGTGACTCAACGTTCCCCTTATCAATTTCGTTATTCCGATTGTAAAATCCACTCGAATCACTCACAAACGGAGTGCTGCTATGCTCGATACTAAACGTGCTCTCCGTTGGAGGCACGGAAGTTTCGAAGTACGTACCAGTCACGGGACTCAAAGACACAAAATTGGTACTGTGCTCGAAGATGTCCTGACTGGACGCTCTAGGAGTAGTATAATAAGAACTTTCCAGGGTGGTGAAGGTATCATAGACGCTCTCTTGAATTGTGGTAGTAGGTGGTTCGAACGTACTGGGATAAATTGTAGTCAATTTTTGCCTAATGTCGTTACCATCGTCGGAGAAATCCAGAACCTCGTCCTTCTCTCTGACCGATGAGGTGTTCTCCTCGTCGTTAATTGGATAAGGAGTCGTGGTGCTCCATTGTTCACCTTCTAACGTAGTTCTCGGAGGTTCCGTGGGTCTGATCTCCGTCAACACCTTCTTGAATGTATCTGGATCCAATAAGTACGCGGACAAAGCATGAGTGAACACCTGAGCCAATTCTCTAAGTCTGGTACTGTTCGATTTTCGCAGATCATCGAGAGATCCTCCGCTCTGTTGGAGCTCTAAATCTTCGTTATAGTCGTCTGCGTAAGTGCTGGTATCGTCGAAACGATCCTCCGTAGTCACGTTATTAGTCTCAGCAGCGTCGTTCAATCTGAACAGCTCAGCATACGAATTGACAGTGTGCTGCGTTAAAAGACCAGTCGGCACTTGCACGGTACCGTTACTCTTCTTCGAAAGTACCGATTCTTCCACGTCCTCTGCAGACTCCAAACTGATAGACGACTCGGTAGTTTCGTTAGAATCAAAATTCTCGGTGGCTGTAGAGAAGTACAGAGCCAAAGAGTGCAAAGTCGACGGAGCTGGAGGAACGGAAACGTTGGAGGGTCTGTCGTTCCCTTTCAAAGTCTCAGACAAGCTAGCCACGTTACTCTCTAGGTTCTTAAGGGAATTTAACATGCTCATAGCGTGCTCCCTTTCAGAAAACCGCGCTGAGTTTCCTTTAATTTTGCTCAACGACGTCGGTGTAGGGTATTTCAACTTCGGTATCAGAGTTCTCGGAGATGTGTAAGCTGTGGTGTAGGTAGGCACCGTGGCAGTGTACGGAGTAGGTTTCGCGGTGCTCGTACTTGTGGTAGAGTAAGCGTAATTTCTGGTGAACGGAATGTAAGGACCCAAAGTGGACATTATTTTGCCCTGCTTGTACGTGAAACTTCTATCGTACGGAGTTAAGTCTTTTTCGGTCGCGGTATTCTGCGGGTAGATCGCAGTGGTTCTAGAAGGTTTCTCCGTGGTGCTGCTGATGAAGTTTTGTCGATATCCCGGCGAGACCGTGGAGGGGTTCTTATTAGTCGATTTCGAATCACCCTGCAATCTATTAAACTGATTATCGATCGTGTTTCTGGCAGCTGGCCTCTCCGTGCTGCGACCAAAATTGTTGCTACGGAAAGACGCGGTCGGTGTGGGTGAAAAGTAGCTCGTGGTGTACCTCTGCTGCGAGGAACTCGGCGTTATGGTGTTCTGGCGATATGTATCTGTGGTCACGTACGATCGAGTCGATGCAGGGACCGTACCTGAGTTACCGTTACCATTAGTCGCTCTACCAGGATCTCTGTTGTCGTTGTCGTCGTAATAATTCTTATCGAAACCGTTCCTCGCGTTGGCCACGCTCCTCGCGTTCGCGCGATAATCGTAGTTGCTGTTGGCGAATAAGAGGGATTCGGTGGTTGGTTGGGTGCCGAAATTAACAGACGGATTCGTCGGAACGCTACTTTCCGTGGTGACTTCGTCGTTGCAAGGAGGAGTCGCTGTTGGATACTGAGTCGTCGTCTCGTAGGACGTCGAACCTGTGTCTGTGAACGAGAAGAAGTCGTTTCTCTGCGTAGAGACGTCGTTCTCTGTATCCTGTCTCCACGTAGGCGTGGTCGACTCGTAGTTAGGATTCCTCGTCGTAGAATTACGATTGACGTACACTTGGTAGTAATACTGATGATTGTTGCCAGAGTTGTCGTTGAATCGATTGCCACGATTACCAACGAACGCTGCACTCTCTGCAAATTGCTGAGACTCCTTTACTGGACTGGTATTGCCTGCCCTAAACGTGGTAGATTCGGTGTAAGCCGGAGTAACCCTTTGCGAAACGGTAGAAGTGGAGGAATTGTTCCTGGCTAAACCTTTAAATTTCAATCTTTTCAACGCTCCTTTGTCATCTCGTTGGTGATTCGAGTTTCTATTGGTAACGTGATAATTCTGAGCTTTCTTCGGAGTGCTGTAGTAATCTTGACTGGTGGTTGAATACCTATTTACATTTCCTTCTTCCGTATTTCTGGTAAATTGATTAAATTGCGGCTTCGAGTTGGAAGGTTGATTCGATTGGAATCCACTCGAGGTGAACAGCTGATTGCTGTCTCTTTGTGCGTTCGATTCTTGGCTGAAATTGTTACCAGAATCGAAGTGTCTAGAGGTTTTGATCCTTTCTCTGTTCGACTGCACGTGATTTTCTTGCGGAGGTTCCTCGTAAGGCTTGATTCTTCCGTTCTGCTTGCCATCGTAACTGAGATTCTGAACGTCGTAGTAATCCTGCTGTCCGCCTGTCTCGATCGACTGTTGATAGTCTATCTTCGATTTTCGCGACTCGGCTCGTCTCCTCTCTTCTTCCAGCAATTGTTCGCTACTTTGTTCGTAGAGCTCCGTAGATTTGCTGCAGTCCACCTTGAACCACCAATCGCAGATCAGTTGCGATTGTTGAAAGATGGTACCGTTCGGGCATAGGAACGATATTTTCCGTCCGTTGTCGCAGATGTGGAATACCTGGAGGAAAAATGACGCTTAATCGACGTTTTAATTCGCATCTCTTCCTCCTTTCTATCATCTTCTCCACTGTGACTTTCTCCTTCATTTTCGACGTCTTTCGTTTTCCATTCGATTACCGTTAATTGATAGAGGAAAGATAACGACGTTAGACAGTTAGAGAAAAGCTGTTTCCTCGTGTTACCACGGAATTATTTAACGCGTTAAACGTTCTGCTCGTCGTCTCGCTCGATTACTCTGTCGCGAAACGAGGCACCGCGAATGTCGTAACGCTCAATCTCGCGTTTGATTCGAGTAATTACGCTGCGGCGAGATACACATTAAGCCATTTGTTACTTACTTGACAATTCGTCTCCAAGTCCGCATAGTAACCACCTTTCAGACCGCGACAACTGAACGAAGTGGCTGGAATTGTCGTGAGAGCTGGAAAGTCTACTCCGGGTTGTCCTGTCACGCCTAAGGAAGAGAAACATTGTACAAATTGATCGTCTTATTCTAACAGCTCGCTCACGTATCAATTTCTTCACGACAAAATAATTATTCCTCTTTTTCAACCTATGACTATCGTGTACAACGTGAGAAATAAGCATAAACCCCTACGTAGTTCTCGTGCAAACTATGCTTTTCATGCAATTTTTCCAGGACGATCTATTTCTTTTCTATGGCTATTCGAACGTTTTGCAAAGAGAAGATTGTTAATTTATAAACGATACAAGATTAATGAAAATTGTCGTTAGCAGGAGAAATGAAGATAAGTTCTTTCGAAACTGCGGTTTTAAAGTGAACGCTAAACGGTATTTCTTGTGTCTTCGAATTTTAATTTCATTTTTCCCAACGATCGATATCGATAGAGCCTGGTGATTGATACGATCAGTTGTCACACCGATCAGTTTCAAAAGAATACTAACTGCATGTGTGCGCTTTATTCTACTGGGATAGAGGAAGCTGGAGGAGAAAGCGGCTTGTTGCAGTACTTATGCAGTATTATTAATAATACCCGCTCCTTTGAGCCATTCCTTGAGAAGATCCGCATTGCCGAAGAAGACTGGGAAAGAAAGGCGAAGAAAGTACTTTAGAGATAGTTAAGGAAGAGGGTTGAAACAGTTTACTATCAGCATTAGTAAGAGAGTGTGGGCTAGGAACCTTGATAAATTTGGTACTCGCCATTCTTCTCCGGTGCCAGTCTTTTCACTATTCTTTTCAACGATTCCTCGTTCTCTATTGACGCCTCTATGCTCGACAGATCCAACTCTGACAGAAACTTCGGCAAATTTGCCTTTCTGTTACTATGCTCTGACTAGAAGTAAAAGTAATTCATAATGAAATTAAACAAAACAAAGAAAAAAGAACGTCGGTCGAAGCATTAATTTTCTTTTTTATCTAAAGAGATAATCTTAGAATATCACAGGTGAAAAATTACTATACTTCATTTGACAAAGGTACTATATTTATTTAGAATAGAAGCTTAATGAACAGTCATAGTCACCTCTGTTTCACAATTGCCGACCATGAAAGTGACCATTGAACCTGAAAAACCGAACGACACGTAAGCGTGAAATTTTTAGAAATGATCGAGGTTTATATTTTTCCTCGTACACTGAGAACGTCTGTTTTTCCATGTTCAACACTCGATAACGTAACATTCGCACAACATACGTGTATGAATGAATAGAGAAACTTCAAATGTACTTACATATAAATATGATTACTTCAAGATAAGCCATTCTCGATAAATTCTTCTGCATGTTTCTGTAACAAGTATAAAATTGCGCACTTTCAAACATACTATTCTTCCTTGGGAAATTTAACTTTGCTGTAAAAAGAAAAAAGGGAATAGTTTACAGGCAAAGTAGCTTAGAATATACAAGCAATCGTTCAACGTTTCTATCGCTAAAATTGAAACGCAAAAGTGAGAAAATTGGGCGGAACATGTCTCTCGATATTCCAACGCACTCGTGAAGAATGTAAAAAGGTGAAAAAACGATGAAAAAAAAAGAAATTGGCTGCCGAAACCCGGGATCGAACCGGGGACATCTGGATCTTCAGTCCAACGCTCTCCCAGCTGAGCTATTTCGGCTGGTGGAAGAATCCTTTTCGTAAGGACAAACGTGGAGCTTTCCCTTAGTCCATTTGACGCGTTGGTCGTCGATAACTGGAGTGCCCCGAATGTTCAGAATAATTAAAATAAAACGAATATCGTTCACTGAAATATTTCGACCATCCTGGCTAACTAGAAATTATTTTAAATTGAAAAAATAATAACAAAGCCTAGTGTAACATTATGCTTAGAATAATGAAAATTCTCTCGTGGCTCCCTGAGAGCACCATGTAAATCTGGCTTGACAGTGAACGCGTCAATATTCCCTACAGAACGCATTTAAATAAGAATTATCCATTAAGACGATCTAACCGTTTAACCTATGATCATATTTCGTAAGAAAGTACCACCAACAGCGCAAAACATTCAGGTAAATATTGAACCTTGTCAAGATGACATTTGATCATCTATACCTGTACTTAAACTGTCCCGTGAAGCATTAATAAGGATAAAAAGAGCGTGAAGAAAGAGTAAGAAAAGAAAAAAAAAAACACTTCAATCGCGATAATAGACTCGTTGAATCCACGCGGAAACGTGTCTAATGATTACCTGTGAGGTGAATTATCTTAATAAAATCTCCGACCGTGGTAATGGATCGTCAATTACTATTTTATTGCCATCTTTGTATTACACCGACGAGAATATCTGTCGGACTCATATTAGGAGATAGGAGACAATCTCAAGAAAATTTGCAAATATTTTTACACGTAAATAAAAATTTCAACTCTCTGTCTAATTCACTATCATCCACGTTACGTCAACTCTCCATACGGGAAACGCAAACGCATAAAGCAGCGCATTAATCACGCCTAACCCTCGTATATCGAACAAGGAAAACCGGCGCACGAAAACGAACGGAAAAGAACAAGGAGATAAAAGATAAATAAGAAATAAATACCAACGATAGGATTCCCCCTCGATGATTTGTACTCTCCCACGTTCGACGTATACACAAACTTACACATCGACGAATGATAAACGACCGATTGAAATTTAGCAAAGAGGACGGGGATCCTTTCAATCGCGATAATAATCGAGGCGACTGGAACGAGCGTGGCCTGGTGATTACTCGTGAAATCGATTATCCTAATCAAATCCCTGACCGTGGTAATGGGGTTTCTATTACACGGCAATACGACGAGGAGTAGAAACGGTACGTCACGTATCAGACTCGTGTCCGTGGTTCACCGGGGTTGACATTCAATCAGGACGTGAAACGATCTCTCCAGAGCGAGTTGTCGGAAGAAACAAATAGCCTCGCTGGTATCGTCCTCTTCGTTGTCGTCGTCGTCGACGTAAATTGTGACGCAACCCTGAAGACGGTAGAGAGAAAGAGAGAGAGAATATCTTGTTCATTCTCACGGTTCACCGATTCACCGGACTTTCAAAATGATTACGGTAGTCATTAAGTTGCCGGTTGGCATTTGATGCGACGCGCAATTTATGGTTAATCCTTTGGGCAAACCGCGATGAGTATTATAATGACGTTACTTTCACTCTCTCAGCTGTAGGTACACTCTCTAACTCCTCTCTCTCTCTCTCTCTCTCATTCGATACGATTCCATCTTTTCCCTGGTTTGTCGTCCTCGACGTCGCTCTTCTGTCCTCTCCCCGATACCTCGCCTCTTCGCACAATTATCCTCTCTAGCCGTTGATTGATATTGGCTGTTCAACGATCGCCAACCGGGGTCCACGACCGTGGCGAGTCGACCACAGCTTTTAATGGAACTTCATTTCCCTCGAAACCGGGGAAGTACCATATACGACCAGCATTTCTTCTTTTTTTTTTTTTCTACTCGGTTAACGAACTCTCCTGTCGTTACACCGAGCGAACGTGTTAACGTTGTAACGAGCTTCTGATTGTTCAACGGGGTTGTATTATTAGCTTTCAATTTTCACGGTTGCTAAGGAATCTAGTAATTTGTGTCTCTTTTTCGGTTTCTCTTCTTCTTTTTGTGATTGGAGAGGAGTTGAAAATCGATGTTCGTTTGCGTAATGTGGATTTGTTTGGACAAAGGGATTACGATCAGCCACTTTTGGAAAGTGTATATAGAACCGGTCATGTACTCAACGTTAAACACAATTACCGTTCGTTACTCTATTATTAAAATGGTACCTGCGCTAACGAAACAAGAAGAATGGTTACTGCAAGCATCTCGTTCTAGTAAAAAGTTCCCTGCATTATGGAACGAGTCCACGGTCTCGCAACGATTACCCGTCCTCCTGGGTAATTCCTAATTATCATAATTTCATCGAAACTTCGATTTCAGCGAGTCCTTGTTCTACGTGTGTGCGTGTGCGATGTTATAACACGTGCGGCAATAGAACGCGACGATTTTTAGAGAAGCCATTGTGCGATTCTCATGTTGAATTGAGATAAGACGGTTTTATATAAAAAAAAGAAATAATTGCATTAATTATTCGACTGATAAATTCTTCAAGCGGTGGCGAATACATTTTTGCAATCGGGTCGGAAAATTTCCCATTACTCTACCGAGCGACGTTAATTCCTCGAATTTAATCAGTTGTTTTATTTGAGCTCCACGGTGATTTGTTTGCAAAATGTTATTTTCAAAAAGTAATTGAATAATTAACAAATTTATCTATTTTAACAAAAATGCTTTATTTAAATTCAAACTGAGTATCCTATAACAACTCTTTGAAAATGGAACTATATACACTGTTCGCCAAAAAAATCGCAACGCCTAGAAATTATATTTGCAGAAATCTACAAATCACGTATGTTTCTCAGACGTCTCTGAGGAGAAAATGACCCGTTTTAACACAACAAATTTCAGATTTGTGCGATTTAATTTCGAAGGGTTTCGCAATTTTTTCCGCAAATTTCGTTGTGTAGGTGTAATAGAAGGGTATTTCAAATTTCCAGCAATCGGTCCTGAAGGCTTCGCCGACGGAGAAGGGAAGCTTGCCGCCACAGGGCCCGGCGGATAGCGATGTTGAAACAATAGCCGGCAGATAGTGAAACAAAACTTGGCGTCTTAACGAGCGCGTACTCGCATACGTACCGCCTTCCTCTTTTGTAATGCTAATTCAAAGGAGGCAATTATTTCAGGAGTAACCGGTAACCTTCTAGTTTCTCGAACGACACCGACCGGCCGCCTGGTATCGTCCTTAGTAACCGAAGGATACTCTCTTGCCGCGAAAGTCGGCCGGGGGTTCCCGTGTATTACCCGAGAAAATCCTCCAACGAACAACCGGAGGAAAAAAAGAAACGCTCCTGAAAGAACGCTTCCACCGTTCGATTACGTCAGCTCCTCTCTGATTATTCTGACACGATGTTTCGTACATCACAGATACAACTTCTCTTACGATCTGTATTTGTTGTTCTTGAATACGACGAGCTGTCCGAGTTTCGTGAGAGGAAGTGATAATTTGTTGGTCTATTTTTTACTGGATACGACGTTTGCGCGAGTTTCGTGAGAGGAGGATAATTATACTTTGAAATCAAAGTGAAATAGGAAGAAATTTATTTTGAGTAATGTGACATTGGAATTTTAGAATTTAAAGTGAGTTACAGTAGTAGTATTAATTGATTAGATTTGGAATTGCTAGATCTAGAAGTGACTAAAGAATTATGCCTTCATTTTGTTGTAACAGCTGTTAAAGTCAAGGATAGTTAGATATCTCCCTGGATTAGGTGTTAGTATGTTATCTGTTAATAGTGAAACTAATATTCGCCCAGTTTTTATCATTTATTTCGTTCCGTTTAAAGTAGCTCACTTAATTGACCAAATTGAAGAGAAAAATTGGAATATCGAATATTTTTGAGGAGGTCCAAACACGTAATCTGAATTATTTAAGAAGCTACGTGAAAGAAAAGTTTCACTTATAGAGATCGACTAAAATGCACACCGATAATTACCATGTACGCGATAATATGAATCATTATCGGAGTTCTAATCGCGATTAAATAATCGGGAAGGAGAGCAACGGTTCTTCCATTGAGTCACACGTTCGTTTCCGGTTATTTTGTTCACCTTTGCACGCTCGAAATCTAACGAGGCGATACGGGAGAACGGCGTGTTAAGGTAACAATCCAATGAACGAATCGAGTCGCCAGATATTATCGCGTATAGTGACTGCGTGTTGCGAGAAACAGATTACTTTTCCCGATCAAGTTGAATCGGGAAAGTAGAGATTGTACGCCGGGTTCAGGAGACGAAATTGGCTGATTAAAAGTGGGATATCTTTATTCGTAGACTTGTTTTTTTCTTACGGAGCAAGATACAAAGTCAATAGATACAACGAAGTGCAAGATCTGAGAGAAAACGTCGATTCTCTTACGTTCTTCTCTTCTTTTTCTCTCTCTCTCTCTGTCTACTCTTTATACTTGTCTCTCCCTTCAAATCTCTGTCGCACAGTTCCTCCAGAACCATTAATCTTACGCTAAAAACTTGCATTACAGCTAATAGTCTCAGGCATGTCAGTTAAAAGGCTGCACTCGATTATCTTATCAAGATGTTGAAATCATTTAATGACCGTCTTGCAACGAACTTTCAGGAGCAATTTGCCGGCTTTGAATTTAAAGGAAACTTTTCATCAGATTGGGGACGATATTTCATCCGGATATCGGTATCAAAGTTTCAAAAGACATCGCGGATTTACTCTTAATCACTTTTATCGTTTTCTCGTTGCTTCCGCGATAAATTTCGATAACGATGTTCAGAGGAGAATTAGTCGTCGATTATTAGCAATCTTTCAACGTCGTAGAAATCGCTTTTTTCCTTCGTCTCTTCCCCGTCTTTTATTCGGGCTATTTGTAAAATTGAAACAGCTCCAACGAGATCCCTCCCTTCTACCCATTCGTTCAGCTTCGTCGAGGCGAGTAATGGCGAAGTTAATTACATGAATCAGCCGTAACATTTTTTCCGAAGAATTATGTATTGGTGTAAAAGAAGACATTTTCTCTTTCATTTACAATTGCGGAAGGTAAAGGTGACCATTAACATTCTTCACTTTGTCCTCCATAATCTTCTCGCAAAAACTGTACACTTTGCGCAACAGCGTAGAATTTTTCAGCAACAAACTTATCTTATTTTTTGACTTTTTTTCACTGGAATACTTTACATCTCAATTATTAAGAATTTCACCGAAGAAACGCCGCGTTTTTCGAAGTTACTCCCATGTGTGCGTGCCGCCTTACGTAAAGCATTGTATTCATTATGGGAGAATTCTTGTAACTGGTTGTTCCTTTCGTGACTGACTTTTGGTGCTATAATCCTTTCATATACCGAGGTATTCGACTTGCCGTTTTTTTCTCTCTTCTGCTTTGTCTACACTCACCTCGTCCAATGTCAGATTTGACGAAATGCAAATGGACCAAGTAAAAGTAGTAGTGAAGAAATATTCGACAAAATTTACCATCTTTCCGTTCAATTCCCTCGAAACTCCCTATTTCACGTTACATCGATCCTCTTATCACTCTACTCCTCGTACAATCAAGAATCACTCGTTCGCGTATAGAACGAATAAATCACAATCTACTCTATATGTTAATACGAGATACCAACTGCATCGATCAATTCGTTCACATCAATTTCCTACGAGTTAATCCGTAGAAACCGTTGCAAATCTCAGCTAAGCTATCCTAACGATTGCATAAACGCGTTACTCGTTCCTACATAGTACACGGAATGTCTGAAAGAAAAGAGAGGAAAAAAAAATATGCATGCTAGTTTAATCGTCTCGCTCGTGTGATACACCGAGAGCGGAGCGGCATGAGAACGCGAGAAGACGCGCGTGTTTTCGGTTCAGGAAATGTTGAACGTCTCGGGATCGTTATAGAGCAGGCGCCTTATGAAACATCCTGTGTTCACGAATATATGTCCGACACATACGAGACTTTCGGTTGGTAGTTCCCGGCGACGGGGAAGACAGGCTCGCCGTCGGAGAGAGAACCGGAAGTAACAGAGACCTCCTACCGTCTCCCGTGGTAAACCCGGTGTCGGCGTTGACCCTAACCAGCCACGGAGAATCCGCCCGCGTTTACGATCCCGACTGCAGAAGAAAGGTCATTTGGGGCCACTCACCGACGCCTTTACCGGCGTGGAAGATCGTCAGATATCTTCAGAACGAATCTGATTACCGTCCCCGTGGCAAGAGATCTTCTAGAAAGTGGCGAACCGACAAACAACCGATATTGAGTCACGTTACGATGAGTTGCGCGCGACTCAATCCGAAACTATGCGTCTTCTTCTATCGTAATCTAGACGAACGTTTTCAACTAATTTCTCCAAGGGACAGTGGTGAGCAATATTCAACGAGCAGTATTTACAGCGTTACGACGAACTGTAATTTTCTCAGATTGTCGCTCAGAGAACGTCGAAATAACAACGGTACGGCGATTATCACAGACGTTAAAAAAAGAAGAAAAAAAAAACGAGAAAACTCCTTATTTCGTTGATAATAAATAGCTTGAAGTATCTCGGAGGACTTACGGTTTTAGATTGCCTATCCGCAGACGTTCGCAATCAACGGGAGATCCGACGCAACGTAATACCGCTTTCGTAAAAGACAATTAATAGTAACGTCTGTTTATAATATGCAATTGAAATGCGAGACAAATTGCTCTGTTGAATCGATAACGTCTGAATAAATCGTGTTGCAGTAAGAAAGCGTCATCTTTCAAATGGAGATTGTCCTTTGAGGATGAGAAGAAAAGAGAGCACCTGTTTGAATCTGAAAGGAAGCAAACTCGACGCGTTCAATTGACTATCGCATTGCGTATCGTTGCCTCTAGACGGAAGTACAAGTTGAGAGAGAGACTTATATACGATTTATCGAGCAGCCGTTGATCCGGAAGACGAGCCCACTTTCGCCTGGTAGAATAGCGTTTATGTGTGTGTGTGTGCAAGTATGTATATATGCACACGTTAGGCTACCTTACGACCTCACAGGACACACTAGCCCCGCTTCACACATGCGATTGCGACTACGCGACCTCTCTTTTCAGAGAACAGCGAAGAAACACGCTGATTGTCCTCAGTTTTCTCGCGTGATACCACGAAGACAACGGCGGATGGAGAGGGTGGCTCTCTCGCCGTTACAACCATAGGCTAACACACCAGGTATGACATAAGTGAAATTACGAACACACGTGCTACCACCGTTGTACCTAACAACACACGCACTCCAGACACTTTCTGCGCCGGGTTCGTCGCGATTCTATCGCGCCGCTCTCCGCCGCGATTATCCATTACGGATGTAATCATAAAATAATGAGGATGATTTTCTAGGATACTTATGAAATATTATATTCAATGGAAAAAGAAACTGGTTTAGACGGTAGATACGGGGGAGATGAACGTGGTTGTACTCTTTATCTCATGGTTAACGTCGATCCACCTTTCTTTAGGTACATGTAATTATGACATTGTTCAGATCGCAGTTTAGAAACGAGAACACCGTTTACATCTTCGAATGTTACTTAATAGTTGGGCGTAAGTTTAAAGAAATAGTAGATTGATAAGAGAGATTCTTTTTTGGTAATTTTTAAGGATATCAGTTTTCACGTTTTCTATGTTCAACTATGAAAAGAAGAAAAAAGAAGCACCTCTCGTTTTTCCCAACGAACGTGATGCTTCTCGTACGTAATACACGGTAACAATCCAGGTAATTTCTCAGGAACGTAAAATGTTACGTCTTCGAATGGTAATTTATCTCTGTTCGCGGCTGAGTATAGTAATGCATCTTACGTTATTAATCTGTAACTCTGCGGCTTTCTCCGCGGCGCTGATTGCAGTATAATGCAACAGAAGAAGAAGAAAAAATAAATAGATTTAGTTTTACGCGTGGAAACCGGAACTCGGAAGTGTTATTCGACGTATTTATAGGTTCTGAAGTGCGTGACGTTGCCAAGGAACACTGTGCGGAGATACTGTGTGTTCCTTCCATCGTGAGATACAACGCAATGTCGACCATGGGAACCCCTTTTCTTTATGTTTAATTAATCACAGTCATAATTATATTGTTCGAAGGAGTTATATTGTTTTAGCTATTTAAACCGGTGTTTACATCATACCTGGCAGTCATGTCACGAAAATGGGTCAGTATTAGAGAGAGAGAAAAAGAATTTTTTAATTTTTAAAAATACGTCCAATCGTCTGTTATATCAAAATAGTAAAAATATATTAATAACAAAAAAATGTCGTTCTTCGACTTCTAAGAAAAATATGAATTTACTTGCTGGAGAACGAAGATTATAATTTCTATATTACACTATAAAGATAAAAATCGTTCGTCGACTTTTGACAAAAATAAGAATTTACTTGCTGAAGAACGAAGATTATAATTTCTACATTATACTATAGAGATAAAGAAGAAACTCATTATTCCAGTTACTGCAAGTTTAATAGATCGCTCTAGATCGACCGAGAGGAGAAATTTACATACGAATACGTCTGCTGTAATCAGAGGAGAGCGTAACGCACACATCCAAGTCTATATTGCCCTAATTATGGATCGGAATTTCCGCAGAACACCTTTACGATCCTCTCCATCGTTCACATAAAGTTCCATCGGGTCTTTCCTGCGCGGAACAAGGAAGTTTTTATTCCCGCCATACCGTAGAAGAATATCAATGAAAGCGGGAAACAAAAGGGGTAAGTCTGGAGGAATTGGTGTCGACGATAAAAAAAAAAAGTGGGACGAAAAGAAGGGTGGTGGGTGGTTCACGAGGTTTCAAACTTATTTACTCGGTTTTTCATTTTTTCGTTTTTTTTTTCTTTTTATACTATCAATATCGTATATTCTTATAATTTAGCGGTACATTTTTCTTTTTCTTTTTTTGCTCTTTCAATCTTCTTCTTCTACACATTCAACGTTCTTAATATCATGATGCATTCGAATTCCAAAAAATAAGGGTTCTTTTTTTGTGCGTTTCATAATCGAGGAACATACCGCACTATATTTACCGCTACGTATTATTTTTGTCTTTTTTTTCGATTTTACGATTTTCATAATATACAACATCTTTATGATATATATATACACACATAATATTCGTTATTGCTCCCGCGAAATGAAAATCGTTTTTATTCGATCGGATATACAATTCTACGAAACGGATCGATTGCAATTACGCTCGATCGATGTGTAAAGTGTTTTCAATGAACGATAAAAATTTCTACTAGGAAATACGACAAACGTAAAAAAAAAAAAAAAAAAAAAAAAAAAAAAAGAAACGAAGAGGAGAACTGATTCGTCGATAGAACGCTAGAATTCAACGAAACAATCTCGATATATCGTCTATCTAAATACATCTTGCTGTACATACATAAATTATAGAACAATCTATTCGTATCAGGTATGATCACTAATAGTTCGCTACGATTGTACTTATCACTTATTATCACCGTCCAAATCATATCACTTCGTACCTCCTAACTGAGAAACGTGAACGTAAACAATATGCTAGAACATTAATCGGCTATCTTATCCTATTTACCTCGAGGGAAAAGAAAATTAAAAAAAGAAATAAGAATGATTAACGAGAGAAGAGAAAAAACAGGAAGAAATATCGCTAATTTTATTATTCGTCAACATCCTTCGTTTCATACTCTCCGTTCATCCCCTAAAAAATAACGCGGAAAGCACAATCTCCCACGTTTTATCGTTACCGCACACCAACTGACAACCCCATCGGAATCAATCAGAGACGGTGAACGAGGATCTATCGTCGATCAATAAATTCTATATACGTACGTACGTGCGAAACATCCAATATCCCCTCTGTCACCCGGGGAATCACTTGCTCGTTATTCCTACGGAAACGGGACGACGAGGATACGACCAATACGACGACGGTACACACATCACCCGTGACGGGACGGAAAAAAAAAAGGAAAAAGAATAACCGACGGAGCTTCTTCTAACGTTTTTCTTTTGGTGCCTCAGGATTCTCGGTTTGGTAAAAGAAATTTTTGCTATTCACTGGTGGTGCTGCCGATCGTCGAACGAAGAACAAGATCGGTGGTGCGTGTGTAACAATGGTAGTAAGTAACCACCGGTAGTAACACCGGAGCCAACGGTGCGCATCAGACACGAGAGACGGAGTGGTTGGATGTCGCGCGATGGACAAGTTGAAGGGTCGCGTCGCGAACGGAACGTAGGACGATACTGAGGAGCCGTCCGCTAGGCATGCAAACCTCATACCGGCGCAAGGATCACGGCGGAATCCTCGCTTCTTCGTCCATCGACTGTCACGGGTATACTCTATCTCTATTCCTCTCCTCCATTCACGTTTCCAACTATTAACCCATCTCGCTTACTCTAGCCCCCGTTCACTTCGCCTCGCTTTCTCGCTTCCTCGCTTCCTCGTTAGAGTTTACGATCCTCCCTCTGATGTTAACCCGCGTTCTCTTCGTTTGTGTACGTGTAACCATCTGTGTATATATGTACTTGGATAGATGTCTGTGTGTGTGCTAGGTGTATCGGGCAAAAGCTAGCCGCGACGAGCGCACGCGCTATACGCGCTGCTTACCTTTTACCATCCTCACCAGAGAGAATCACCTCACACCCACTCTCACCTTCTCTCTGTAAACCCCCCCAGTTTCCTATTTCTATCTCCCTCGTTGTCGTTTTCCCTCTGTAACCCTCGCGAACGCTCCTTGGTCATCTTCTTCCTATGTGACCCGATGCTATCTTTAATGCTTTCTCTTTTCTTCGGTCCCGAGACACTTTTATAGTTGCTACGGATTCTATGTGTATATGTGTGTGTGTCTCTATCTAGGTGTGTTTCTACGTTGGTTAAGCAAGGTGTAAGTGTATCGTCATTCGTCCCTTCCTACGGCTTCGTACGTTTCATCGTTTTCAACATTTAATTCGTTCTCCACCTTGTTAAGCTTCTTCTTCATCTTCTTTCTCCTCCTCTTCTTCTTTTCTTGGTTGGTTCGATTATAACGCTCACGACGTCAGGTCTGAGCACTTTCTTTCTCGTCTCTTGACCTTTTCATATTCAAGAGAGAACCCGCGAACCCACTTCCGTTTCGAAGGATTCCACCTTCCCCTTTATTTTTTTTTAATTACCCTCCGGTCTCTTTCTCGCGGCTTCTCCGCGTTTCTTAATTACTCCGCTCCGCGAAGTTCTCGGGAAGTATCGCGAGAACGAGACTCTCGTACCCGTTTTCGTTACAGACTATCCAATATTTTCTATCTATGCTATTTTTCTTCTTTTTCTTTTTGTTGCTTTCTTGTCTACTTCTACGTTCTGTATTCCGGGTGTACAGTCTTTTCAGAGATCCTATTCTCGCGCGAATGTCTAAGAACTAAACTATACCGCGGGATTCTACTTATTGGAACAGAAGTTTTCGGTTAGCTCGGAAGAAAGTAGACGGGATACGCGGCGTTAAGTTGCGCAACGGATGGAAACTTCTTCAACGACGTCGAGAGGAGACAAGGAACCACGTGAAAATTTCGTTTCTACAATCACGTACTTGTACATTTCTCGCATCATTTTCTAAAGTAGAACCTTCAGTCCGGACGTAGAACGAGCGCGATCGAAGAACGTTTCTTTTTCTGTATGATCTCTTTAAGAAACACGAATCCTTCGTCTGGAATAAATCGTTCTGCACAGTATTCCCAAAGTGTGAAGAAACTAGGGAGATTGCGCGCGTGTTCCTTGCGAAACGCAGCATAACATTTACGCATTTGACTGGAACATCCTCAAAAAACAAAAAAAAAAGAAGAAGAAGAAGAAAACGAAAAGAAATGGAGAGAGAGAAAAATAAGAGTGTGTAGCGGCTGACACCGGGCAAATATCTCGTCCTATTCTCTATAAAACACGCCGTAAAGACAAAACTCTTCGCGTGAATACGCGGCGCGCACACACATATTGAATATTTTCACACGTTTTATGAAATCACGGTCGCATGTAAAGTGTACGAAAGGAGAGTAAGAGATACATATTCTTTTTTTTTTTTAAATAACTCGATACCATTTTTTTTTTTCTTCTATCGTATATGTATAACGCGCGTCTGTGTACATCTTTCATACGTTTATGAGAACGTAATTTCATCCATTTATAATTTATACAAGAGAAACTGTGTACAAATGAATAATTTTATTCATGTCCTTGTTATAAACTCTGCATTGTGGGAACGAAATTTGTACAGGGATTTCGTAAGATGTTACTGTACGCGGCGAGTAAAAGGATTTCTAAAGCCGAAAATTATTCTTAATATCTTCGTACGATCACCGGTCTCTCTCTTGGAAGCTTTTTTTTCTTTCTCTCTTTTTGTCGAATTGCACACGACAAATCTGATCCGTGTAGAGGAAAATGTACACGTTCACGCCGTTCAATAAATAGGAAAATTGTTGGATTGAACGAGCGTCATAGGTATGGATATTAAGAATATTTCAAGCCTTAACTTTTTGATTGGAGAAATCGCTGGTGCCGAATATTTTAGAAACACACACATCTTACGGAACACTGCAGAACTGTCTCGTTTGATATTTACTATTATTCAACATGATTACACGATTGACCCAATATTATTGGAAATTTCATCTTGAAATCAACGATACACGTTCATAGAAACACGTAGAAAATAAATCGCCTCCTAACACCCTTTCGATTTGTTTTTCTTTCTTTCATATCGACAGCGTTACGATATACCTTTCAGAGACTTCGATAGATATGACGGTCGAGTGAATTTCAAATAATACTACTTTGCACATAAGTATTGTCGAAAGGACAGCGGTTGATCGGTTTTATCAGTTGTAACTCTCCAAACGCCTGTTTCCGGAGCATATCGGATAGGTTCACGATGCAAAACACTGGTTGTTCCTTTATATAGCTGCTCGTTCTTCAATTAAATTCATTGGAAATGCTTGTATCGTCTGTATATTGACGATGCACGCAATTATGTCAGGCAAGGCAGTGATTATAGCATGTACTCTGTTTTTGGGTCATCTCGCGTTAATTCCATCGATTAATTCTGTTTCTTTTCTTCTTTATATATATATGTATATATCAAATTAACCGAAGTTCATATAGATCTCAATAAAACTCTCTTACAATACTTTTTACAAATAATTAAAAAACCCAACAGTCTCTCTCTGTTGTTGAAGATTCGTTAAAAAACATTTACAATATTCGACGACACCCACCATATTTCTCGTCCGGTGGTGAAAAATTACATTGAATTAAAAACGAAATATTGATAAAAAGTACCTTTCGTATATCGTAGAATGATTTAACGTTAAATGACCCTTCCATATCGTTCCCTACCTAAAATGTATCTTGTTTCATTAACATATTAACACGGTCTAGCTCCCTGTTGCATAAACATTTATTATTCACGTCCACTGTTTATTTGAACAGTATCGTTCCTTCTTACGAATAGCACGTTACAACGATACTAATTTTATCTAATGACTTTAAACGTAATTCGGAAAGATCGCGGATAATAAACTACGAATCCTACAGTGTCTACCTTAAATAGTTCAAATAATCCAGGTTTTCGATTGATTCTCTCGGCTATAGTACAATGTTACAAGCATGATTCGTGTTGGTTGGTTGGATTTTTTTTTTTTTTTTTTGTTGTTGATAGTGGTGGTGGTGGTGGTGATGGTGGTAGTGGTGGTGATGATGATGTATCGCCTAAGGATCCATAAGATCCGCCCGACTGCGAGATCTAGCGATATAGGTAATGGTATCTTATGGTACGCGTAGTATAATCAATCGATGAACAAGTAGTTCGGGCACGTACGTTTCTTTCGTTGATACAGAAACGTTGTTTAATGGAATCCCGCGTTGCGTAGTTCCAAACACGCTACCCCAAGTTTAACTCGTGTAACACGGCTTTCAGACTTTCTTAAACATTAGTAATGCTTACTTTTTTGTACCCGCCGTTAAATCAACGTGGCTTTGTCTGAAATCATACGCACGAGCTCTGAATGTCGTTCACGTATAAAGGATAATATAGAAAAGTATCTATCAATCGGGTAGCCAAAAAAGTTACTCTCGAGCGAAGTGAAATTTTCTATAAATTTACAATTGTCCTCGAGGATGTACATTCGGAAGGCAGAACAGTGTATAACTTGAGAAATTTAGGAACAATCGAATATTATAAAAAGAAGATATTATCGAGTCGTCGATTTGTAATCCTGATTATACGAGTACAACATATTCCTTCGTTATGGAATGTATAATCCTGTAGGTAGCAGGTCTTGACAGAACGTTACAACACACTCGTGTATTAGTATAGTACAATGTAACAGAGTAATACAAAAGTACACGAAGGAAAATGTTAGTTTTCTTTTCTTCCTGATCGAAGAAACATTCTTTCGTCAGTCTGTACAATGAGAAAGGTAGCTTTTTTGCGAACCCGATGAGACTTCTAAGATCATTGATAAGAGTGGAAAAAAGGAATACGAGAACATTTACAATGCAGGCATTTTGAAAATTGGGTTAAGCTATTTGTCTAATGTTAAATTAGAAGAGTAACGGCAGAGGAGCCATATTACTGACCTCTTCATCGGAGGCTTGTGTAAAAGCTCCTATTGTCTGCTGGATTTGAGGAGCGGCGGATCCACTAGAAGGATGCACCACAGCTTGTTTACCAAGTTTTATGGCATCCTGCGCTGGTTGTGATGCGTCAGTCCTCCTAATATAAGCAGCCTCCTTTTTAGGTGGTACTACCGGTTTATTTGGCGGCACTGGAGGAGGAACGCCGCGAGATATTGGTGGCTTTTTCGAGGGCAGCATACCAGATGCTTGAATCGCAGAACCAGAGCCAACGTGAAAACCAAGCTTTCCTGTAGCTTGCGTCGGCGGCATAAGTTTTACCGTGCCTCCAGGATTTATAGAAGCAGGTACAACCACGCGTTTGTCTACAGCCTGAGGAATGAATACACAGGAGAACCGATTTAACGTTCGGGCTGTCCCTTTGAAACATCCCGATACAATGTAGATTGTCGTTGTGTTTAAGATGTAATTATTAAAAAAAAAAAAAAAAAAGGAGGAAGAAATTATACCAAACGATCGGTTCTGTTGCAAAGCACGAAACTCCCGTCACTTTTGCAAACTACATATTTACAAAAACGTCAACCGACTGATGCACGATTGTGAAGAATATTTTAAAAAAATAAAGAACGAAAAAAGAACGAAACAAATCGATTCCTTATGTACCTGTACCTCGCAACGTAACATTTTTCTTAACAATAAAAATCGTACTCTATCGAACGTCGAAGATTTATTTCTTTCGTATAAAAATTCAGTTAATACAAGAATAAAAATATTCCACGCTGTGCAGCATGATACTGGCCATCGATACCGACTATAACAGCGACATATGCAACGGGTACAACCAGAATATATGTAGATGTGTAAAAGATGAATAAAAAGGGAATGGGCGCTTGTACAAAAATATCGATATTTCATTCGTTCCCTCTGATTATAAATTACCATGTATTTTGATAATAAAGTAGATAAAAAAAAAGATAAAATGAATTTTCCTTAGAGAGCAAGAAAGTAGTAGTGAATATGATTGAAAGAATTATAATTTCTACTATAGTAATTGTACGGAGATCTACTTTCTTTGTTAGAATAGTACATCACACAACTTGAGAAAATAATAGGTGAACAACCAAACCATATAAAGTTAGCAATAGCAAATACAGGGTTGCAATTAGGAGGGCAAGCGGGGAAAATTTGTAAATAAGGCGCAAAAGTGAGTTGCATACAAGTTTTAATTAAGGAGATAATAAATGTACATACTAAATAGTAATCTTATGTACAAAATAAGAATAGCATAATACAATATAGACTTAAAATTGAATGGTGTATTAACTTATATAAAATAATACAATGTGATATAATCAGTGTGAATTAAATATTACAAATATGTGTATGTGTAGGTGTAATTAGAAATAAAAGGATAAATTATGTTACCTAAATGAGAAAAGAATATTTAATTGTAACTGTACAATGTGATATAAATTTGTTGTAACAATTGAAATGAAATCCGGTAATTAAATGTTCGTAAAATTTTGCTAAAATAATTAAAAAATCTCTATTCAATTGGAGTTACGTACATGCAACGCATCTGCAAGATGTGTGCATTCAGCATTAACACATATATATATATATATATACACACACACATTAAACTGTGTATGTTGAAAGTATATATATATATATACACATACATATATGTACCTATAACTTACTGTTACCTGTATTTCAAGTTTTTAACATTATTTTATATATTTTACATTTTACATTCGTTCTTTGTATAAAAAACATAGAAAGTATTTAATGACTATACTGTTATTCTAAATATATACATAAATCTTTTCTTCCTAACTTAGCAATTATACTGATTGTTCTTTTGTATATCATTACAATAAGTATGATCAGTGACATACCCATGTGTTAAAGAAAGAAATAAACCAAATTTACCCCCAAGCAGTTTGTTTGTTGCACTGATTCATTAAAAATACTAAGAGAAATAAGAAAAATGCACAGTAAATATACTTTCCAAAACAGGGTAGTAAAACATATTTGTATTTATCATTATCATGCAATAACTATATAAAAGTAGTCAATAAGTATTCTGTGTAACATTCAACTTAATAAAATATAAGACTAGAAAACTTTATTTGTTTACAATGTGCATATAAAATAATATCAAATAGCATTACAATCCCTAATAAATTAATATGGTCATTTTCAAGTATATTTAAAATCACTTTTATTAATAATATTTTAAACTTTAAAATATTAC